GCTGCAGAGTCTCCCCACCGCAGCTCTACTTAAGGCTGCCCTTAGCGCGCCCGAGTGGGAGGCAAAGCGAACGGGCTCGGTCCTCCTCCTTGCTCCTGGTCCTCCCCGCCCCCCAAGCATCAGCTCTGCCCCTCAAACCTGCACGCCTGGCGCCCGCACCCTTGCTAGGTGTGCTAGCTTAGGTCCCACTCCCCGCTTCCCCGCCTCCTTCTGCTGTCCGGAGGAGTCTGGTCTCTCTCTGAGTCCACAGGGGGTTGGCCGGGGCTAGTGAAGGAGCCGGAGGTGGGGCGCCAGGGTATGGTGTTCGTTTGGGCGCCCGGGGCTTCTGGCAGCCGCCCGGACCAGTGACTGGGGCCAGTGGAGCCGGGTGGAGGCGGGGAGGACAAGGGGGGAGTGGTGCTGGAGATCTAGGGAGAGACTCAAGGCGGCGGTCCGGAGGACAGGGATAGCTGGAGGAGAGGCTGGAATCGGGCACGGGACCGCGGGCGTACGGGAGCAGCTGGACAGGCGCTAAGAGGGAGGAAGAAGGACGTCTCCAAAGGGCACAGGTAAGGGTCCGAGCAGCTGGAGATGCGGCACACGGGGAGGAGGTTGGCGTTCTAGGAGGGATACGACGATGGGCAAGTGAGGGGCTCAGCGCTCTCTCAGCTTGGCAGCCACAGCCCAAAGCATCTTTCCGATCGTCAGAAACTTTTTTGGAGTCGCTTTCTTGCAGCCACTCCACGAGGTCCTCCACCCCCCATCCCCTCTCCCCAGCGCTGAATTTGGGTATTCCCGCTGTGGCTGTGGTAGTTTGCCGCGGGCGCAACTGAATTCCAGGCTTTGGTCTTGCCTCTGGATAGCTTTACTGAGCCTAAAGAAGAAAGTTTCTTCGCTATCGCTAGCTCCCTCGCCCTCTGCACCCGGAGGGTACTGTTTATAGTACGGACCTATGAAGTTAGGGGGATTGTGGAGAGGGCCGGGACTTATCACTGGGGTTATTTTCCTTCCTCCCTGGGCGGGGGGAATCGAAAGACAAACACCTGGGAACCGGTACTGCTGGGGGAAGGGAGACAGTTTCTCCGTCTGCTTTTACTACTGTGGACACGTCGGTGGCTCACTGATTGCATAGGCGCTTGGGGGAGGGGATCTGGGGTTGGAGTAGGGTGGGGGGGGGGAGTATGCGGCAAGAGGGAGGAGCAAAGGAAAAAAAAGAGGGGTGATTTTACCCTTCTAAATCCTATCTTTCGCCGATTGGGATCCTGAGGAGTTGGATGCTTTGCAGGGTGATAATCCAGCGTTTTAAAATGGATAACCCTTAGCCGCGCGTGTCCCCGGGATGGCCCTTGTAATTCCAAGAAAATTTATCGTTTACAGAGTGAGTGTCTCAGCCCCGCTAGTGTGGATGGAATTTACATACACAGCCTCTTCTCCCCCTCCTCCCCCCCCAGACTCTTTCCTACCCCCACCCCCGTCCCCATCAGGATTCTTCTTACTGACTCGAACCACACAACGTATTTAGTTTGTAAAAACTGGAAAGTAGGAAGGAAACTTGTGTTTGGGTCACTGGTTTTGAAATGTGGGTTCTTGTTGCTAGATGTTGCTAATGATGGTTTGAAGTTTATTCTTTGTTTTTTGTTGGACGAAATATAAAATAGTGAAGGCATCCTGGACTTGACTACTTCCATCCTAATTTAGGTAATGGTTATGAAGACGGCTTGAAGCCTTTAAAGATGACTCTTTCAGGGCCTAAAGTGTACTTATCTTTGTCTCTTGCCACCTTTTCCCTATCGCTTCAGGTTAGAAATGCTCTCAGGATTTCTTTTTTCTTGGATAAGTGCCTCTTTTTCCAATTTCATTTACTTCTCAATTTTCTCTCTCTTCTCTCTTTCCCTCCCCCCACTCTTTCCCTTTCTCTTTCTCCAAATGGACACTTAAAATAATCTTACTGCACTATTCTACCTAGTACATGTCTCTCAATCCATGAAGTTGAGACATGTAATTTAGACCCTAGACTTCTGTTTGGTTGAAGTCTTTGTCCCTTGAGGAAAAAAATATAATTATTTTAAGAAGGTGTGATCTTGTCTGGCAGGAGATCAACAGTAAAGAGGATGTCTGTTAAAGTTGTCATGGTTGTCTGGGCCATTACATAAATTTGCTTAGGGATCCTAGGTTTTTATTATTTAAACTGGAGTGAGTGTGAATTCTGATTTTGTTCAGCATTTTTCTTTTCAACCTTGGTAAGAAAGGAAATTGAATGGATGCTAGTTTTATTAAGTAAATATATACTCTATTAATTTCTTGCAACTTTTATTTTTAAAACATTATTAAAAAACTAGAGTTCAGGAAGAGATACAATTAGGTGTAGTAGAAAAATTATTAGATTGAAATACAGGAGATCTGGGTTCTAGGTCTGTTTCTTTCTACTAACTGGCTCTGTGATCTTGATTTGCTTAGTCACATAACTTGCCAGGGCCTCAGTTTCTTATTTTGTAAAAGGAGAGAGTTGGACTAAATTTTAAAAAGTAAACACTGTTATTATCCTCATTTTACAGTTGAGGAAACTGAGGCAAATTGGAGTGAGTGATTTGCCCAGATGATCTCTGAAGTTTCCCTTTAGGCTCTAAGAGAATAAAATAGATGGTTATTTCAATGTTAAATAGATAAGAAGTAGGAAATAGTGGGAAACAGTTAGAAGGAGGAAAGTTAGGGGACAGGAGGGCATATGAATAGGAAGGTCAACTCCCAGAAGGAAATAATGATTGGATGGAGGAAAGGGAACTTAAACTTCCTTTGTCTTTTCTTTCCCCTTCTTTGCTCTCATGAGAACATCTAATACTGTTTTTCCCTTCAGAATGGTCTGTCTTTATTTTCTTTAGTATCTGACCACAGCCATTCTCAAAACTGATACGCTGTTCCTTGAGTCTACCTTATTATTGATATGATCTACGAACTCACCGTTTATGTAGTAGAACCACTAATGCTACCAGAGGCTGCTTAGGCTCTAATTTCATTATGTAATAAAGTATGCATTATTGTTATTAGTACATATACTAATGATATCTCGATAACAATAATTCACCTTTATATAGCACTTCACAGCTTACAAAGAAATTTCTTCACAGCTCTATAAGATAGTTCAAATGGCATCCCCATTTTAAAGATGAGGAAACTGACACTCAGATTAAGTAACTTGTGTAGTATAGCTACTTGGTAGGGAGGAGAGAGAGGTCTAGGATGTGAAGCTAGCTCTTTTAACTCCAAATATAGCTCAGTGGATTGAGTACTGGCCTTGGAGTCAAGAGGACCTGAGTTCAAATCTATCTCTTAGCCTATTTTTGCCTCAGTTTCCTCAACTGTAATGAGGGGATAATAGAGTGCTGGGCCTTGAGTCAGGAAGGCTCATCTTCCTGAATTCAAATCTGGCCTCACTTATTAGCTATGTGACCCTCTGCAAGTCACTTAACTCCAATTGCCTAAAAAAAAAAAATCAGATTTTGGAGAGGCTGAGTGGAAACCCTTCCAAGAAGGTTCATTTTGAAAATCTCTCTAAATGTAATATCATTGTTACGGACTTTGATTTTTCTAGATATGCTATAAACTTTTCACAGTTTAAAGAGGGCAAGACTCAAGGGAACCTGGCACAACTGTTGTTAGAGCTACTGGAAAAACATAAAGAGGAAAAAAAATCACACTTGCTAAGTTGGTTTGCTACACTGTGACATTCATTCTGAAATCAGCCAATTTCAGGGCTAAGAATCAGATTTCAGCTTGGCAGGGGAAGTTGCGTGCCAGGCTGAATAATGCTGTATCATTAGAACTATGCTTTTGAGTTTCAGTAACACAGGACTGTTGAACTTTAGTTACGAGTACAAGATTTTAATGTATCACTAATGTTATACAGTGTATTTTTCTTTGTCTTTTGATTTAAAAATTAATATCCACATTTACATCAGGAACAGTGGTGTGTGAGCTACTGAATTTGTGCTAAATTGACCACAAATATTAGCTCTTCTGTTGTTGAACTCCCAAATGGGAGATTTTGTGGTCAAGGCTCTCCTATTGTTTTGGGACTTAGCTGTTGTAGACAGTTGAAAAGTACTTGGTGAGAGAGGAGGAACAACATTGTTCGATCAACTACTTTGGGAGAAGAATAAATATTTAAATTTAAGTCATAAGGGCTGTAAATGTATTGGGAAGAAGTCTGTCCTTTGGAAGATGCAATTTGGAAATGTGTGAGAATGAAAAGTCTGAATGATGCGTTACTTGGTAGCCCATGAGTGAATGTGTGAGAATGGAGTAGCAGTTTTGTGCCTTTCCTTTAAATTGTAGTGCTTTTTGGACTTTTGAGACATTTAGAGATCTTACTTAGTAGAGGAAAAAAGGGTTTTTTGTGATGTCATTCAGACTTGGTGAGACAGTATGATGGAGTAGTTTAAAAGTTACTCTATTAAAATACTAGTAGTAAAGAAAAATACCTAATTACTGGGAGGGCATCTTCTGCAGCTTTAATTTGAAATGACTATTTGGTATTCGGGAATTTTGGAAATGAATTTTTTTTGTTGGTTTTTATGTTTTGGGGATATAAGGAAGTTAGAGAATATGGGAAGGGTATTTTAAAATGTCTAGAACTGAAGAGAAGACTTAAGAGGGTCTAACAGGTAACAGTTCCATGAAAAACACTGGGGACCTCAGAGGTGGATGGTAATTTGCAAATTCTGCAAAATCTCTTATTCAGCTCAATGAATATGAGCCTCTTGTTGAAATCGATTAAATAATATATCTTTAAGCCGATCTTTTTTGGGGGAGGGAAAGAAGGGAGGAGTTAGGCTACATTGCTGCACTGATTTGCTTCTTAGGTGATTCATCTCATTACTTCTCTGATACGGAGAATTTCTGATGGTGGACAATGATCTAGGAATTCATGTTGTTTGTCCTTCATCTTTCTGAAGAGGACCAATGACATCAGGGAGGTGATGCCATGCCATGCAAGTGAATTGGATTTAAGTGAGGGAGGGCTATGCAAAGTCACCAGCCTCACCTTTTCTTTTGGAGCCATCTAGGTCCAGTGGCCAGTTCCTTATCTGTCACATAATGCTTCATTGACAAGGATGAGACAAGTATTCTTGCTTTTGTATATAACAGATCCCAAACTGATTTGATGATATTTTCTCATTCTTGTCTATTGAGACCAATGAAAAAGAAATGTTTAAATAAGTAGAATAACTAATTCCATGACATGAGATTGTCTTCTGAATACAATTAGATTGCTACTAGCTTTTTTGGTTTTGTTTTGGGGAAAAAACATGAGACTTTTTTTTAACGTATTTTTGAATGGAACAGTCCTGAGTTTTTCTTCCTTTCTTTCTTCCTTCCCTACTTCTTTCCTTCCTTTTTCCCCTTCCTCCCTTTAGAAAGAAGAGTGCAGAATATATTGTTTCAGGAGCCTAATTTCAAAGTAACTTATTTATAATATTCCTTAGAATTTCAGTGGATCTAATATGTGTCTTACATAGTTTATTTCAAGTATGGTTCTTTAATCAAGAATATAGGAAAATGATGAAAATAA